GGGGATTCGCGAAGCGTAAACACTAACAGTAGGAATAATACTACTACTAATAATAAGGAGAGTAAGCATGATAATGTAATGCTATTGGTAATGATAATAAAATTTCTGGAAACAATAACAATAATAGTTCTAGTAATAATGATACTAATAATGATTATTGCTGTGATTGTGATTATGACTACTCTTTTTAATTATAGTATGATGATGATGACGATGATGGTGGTTGTGCTGGTGGTGGCGATGGTGTCGATGGTGGTGGTGGTGGTAATAATTAAAATAACTTTGCTAATACCAACGGTACTGACAACACTTACTAGAACGAATACTAACAACAATAATAATAATACCTATACGATTACCCTGCGGGTGATAAGGAGGTTGGGGGGGGAGGGGGCCAGCAATGGGCAACAGTGGTGATTGTTGTTCTGATGATGCGAGTGGAGATTGTTGCGTTGCCGCTCGCTCTTGGGAGCCTTGGTGTCGAGTTGTTTACGTCACCCTTCGCTCTTGGGCGCCTTGGTACCAGTCCCCCCCCCCCTCGGGAACTAATGACATAAAAAATATGTCGTTCATCACTCCATCGATCTCACTATCGATCTCACTATCGATCTCACTATCGATCTCTCTATCGATCTCACTCGATCGATCTCACTATCGATCTTACTCAATCGATCTTACTCAATCGATCTCACCATAGATCCCACTATCGTTCTCACTATCGATCCCACAATCGATCTCACCATCGATCTCACTCGATCGATCTCACTATCGATCTCACTACCGATTTCACAATCGATCTCACAATCGATCTCACTATCGGTCTCACTATCGTTTTCGCACCAGCGGGACACCAGGACACCAGCGGGACACTGGCGGGACACCGGCGGGACACCGCGCGGCCCCGTTTGCCGGTCGGGAAACATTTGGTCCAGCCGCGCCTCAGCCACAAGAGACTTACCGGGACACCAGCGGGACACTGGCGGGACACCGGCGGGACACCGCGCGGCCCCGTTTGCCGGGGGGGGAATCATTTGGTGCGGCCGCGCCTCAGCCACAGGAGACTTCCTCTCGCCCGCCCACGCAGCTTCGCCTCGCCCGCACGCACGGCACGCACGAACACGAAACCGAAACCGATTTCCTGGTGGGGGGCTCTCCGTTCCACTTCGATAACAATAAGAAGAATGATGATGGTGCTGATGATGATGCTGATGATGATGATGGTGATGTTGATGTTGATGTTAATGCTGACGATGCTGATGATGATGATCCTGCTGATGATGATGATGATGATGATGATAATAATGATGATGATGATGATGATGATGATGATGATGATGATGATGATGATGATGATGATGATGATGATGATGATGATGATGATGGCGATGAGGATATGCGGAGGGCAGAGGCAGGGATGGGAGGAGGGGGGGAAGGAGGAAGGAGAAGGAGAAGGGAGGACGCGGAGCGCTGTCTCTTCAAAACGAAGATCCAACACCACAGGATGGGTGGAAAAAAACAGAGGAGACCAAACACGGTCCAAACAAAGCCAGAGAGTGCTCGAGAAGGCCGGAAAAGTCCAGACAGTGCAGGAGACGAGACGGCCCAGAGAGGGCCGAAGAGGGGCCCGAAAGAGAGAGAGAGAGAGAGAGAGACACGGAGAGGGCCACAGAGGACCGAAGAGCGCCTGGGGAGGGCAGGAGACGACTGGAGAGGGCGTGGAGAAGGCCAAAAAAGGCCCAAGACGGCCCGATCGAGGCCGTCCTCCTCCTCCTCCTTCTCCTCCTCCTCCTCCTCCTCCTCCTCCTCCTCCTCCTCCCAAATAAAACCGAAATTGACCAGGAAGGCCAAGAGAAGACCGGACGATGCTGGACGGAGATGGGCCTGAAAAGGCCAGAGAGGGCTGGAGACGGCCCAGAAGAGGCCAGAGAAGGTAGGACAGGTCCGGAGAAAGCCGAAGGAGGCCGGAGACGGCCCAGGAAAGGGCGGATAAGGCTGGAGGGGCCCAGAAAAGGCCAGAGAGGGTAGGATAGGTCCGGAGAAAGCCGACGCAGGCCGGAGACTGCCCAGGAAAGGGCAGACAAAGCTGGAGAGGGGCCGGAGAAGGCCAGAGAGGGCTGGAGGCGGCACGGAAAAGGCGGGAGAGAGCCAGAGACGATCAGAGAAGGCTGGAGTAAGTGGAAGGAGATAATAGAAGAAGCCACATGGCGCCGTTATCACACGCCTACGACTATAATTATGACTACGACTACGACTACGACTACGACTACGACTACGACCACGGCTACGACTACGACTACGACTACGACTACGACTGCGACACCTACGACTGCTACAGTGTACAAGTGAACATGTTTGCATGTGTAGCTACACACTGATGAGACCAATGTTGCACATTTATAACTGTTCGTGCGATTATTTCGGAGAACAGATGTTACTTGTATGATTATATACGCTTGCACTTGAAAGTCATGGTCACGAGAGTGTAAATCTGCCGACCCCGTCGGCGTGTGTGAGGGGCTTGTCTGTTCGAGTTGTCGTCTCTGTCAGCCGTCGCCTCCGTCGTCCCCCTTCCCTGCACCATCTTCCTCAAGCTTGTCAGCGAGAGAAAAATCTAGCAATGTCGTAATATCGAGTCGAAAGAAAGCCCGCTCCCCCGCCAAGGGGGGTTCGCGGGGGGGGTCCTGGGTCAGATACTCATCCCTCCTGGGGGCCCTGGGCCCTCAGAAAAACCAAGACAGGGCCTTGGGCCAAGAGTGCCCCAAGAGGCTCCCGAGACGGTCCAAGAGGGTCCCCAATCGCCAAACGATCGGTCCAAAACACCTTCACGACCTTCAGCTGCCCAGGAGGCATCCAGGACGCCCCAAGAAACCTCCAAGAGCACTCCCGAGAAGGTCCCAAGAGGCCAAATTCATTGATTATCCGCTGTTTTCATTTTGATTTGGGCGTTCTCGCCTTTTCTACTTCCCGCCGCTCCAAGACGGCGCAAGAGGCTCCCCAAGATCGCCCCAAGACGGCCCAAGAGGCCTCCAAGAGGGCCCCAAAGCAGCCCAAGAGGACCACAAGACAGCCCAGAACGCCTCCAAGACGGCCCAAGAGGCTCCCAAGACGGCTCCAAAAGCGTGCCCTGAGGGGGGACCCGAACGGACACTTTGAGCCCTCGGCCCCGAGAGTCCCAGGAGGCCCCAAGAGGTTCCCAAGGGGCCCCAAAGAGTCCCACAAAAGGTGCCCACATGAAGTCCGAAGAGGCCCCCAAGAGGCTCCCAAGAGACCCCCAAAAGGCTCCCAAGAGGCCCCAAAATGCCTCCCCAGCGGCCCCCGAGAGCCGTCCGACGAGACCCCAAGGAGCATCCTTGAGGACTCCTGCCCACGTCAGCGTCTTCGTCGTCGCCACCGCCGCCGTTGTCGTAACCGTCGTCTCCCTTCAGGGTCGGCGGCACCGGCCGCAAGGCCTGCGCAGTATTTTTTTTCTGAGGGGCAGCACCGCGGGAACTTGTAACTACGTAAGGCCTGCTCAGTATACTTGAACATGTAGACACTCGTACCAATATATACTCATGGATTCGAGCCTCATTTTAGCACCGTTACGGCTGGGCGACTGCACCCAACAACGATCGGGTGCGGGTGGCTTGGGATGACAGGCTATCCGGTCCAGAATCTTGTCACCGATCCAGACATGCCTTGAATCTTCGTCTGGCGTGTGCATCAGTTGCTGATCACTCACACAGGAACATCGTAAAGGGCACGCTTTGTTTTATCTTTCAGCGCGATAAGTCGCAACACGGGTTCAAGTTTAACAGCAATCCGACTTCTCTCCGTGTTCCTCCTGTTTCCCTTGTCCACTCCGTGAAAGAGCAATTAGTTGTCATCCTTCCTTCTCGTTTTCTTCCTTCGTACCCATTCTGGCACTAGCTCTAATACCTTTGGCAATACCACGTGGCCAGTACCTTCTGGGTGTCATGGCCCATAGGGCACAGGATTAGGGCACAGGATACCTATTCGAACATCAAGTCTCAGATTCTGGGTAAACCTGTAGACTGCAGATTTGTAAAGGAGCGTACAACCCGAACATATCGGAGATGCTACGCAACTGGATGCGCGAACGTTGCTCCACGCGCATTGCACCATCAACAAAAGCTGTCAATAATCCCTGCGACGTGCAAAATAAATGTAGATGTTCTATGACATTATTTCTTCTGACGTGCGAAAAACAAAAACACTTGGGATATGAAATTTGCTCCCTCCCTCTCGTCTTCAGCTGTGGTTCGACTTGCGCCGCAGCGATCATCCGATGTGCGCATCCTCCGATCCAGGCCCCCTGGAATTCCCATTATCAACTGTACATCCGCACGTTTATCAGGAGGGAAAGAAACACACAGACACAACGAATCGTCGATTCCCGGGAAAATATGGAGAAAAATTGGGATTGGGGGGAAGACAAAAACCCAGAAAATATGAGAAAATATGGGGAATCCTTTTATTTGTGTGTGTATTTATTTGTGTGTCATGGGGCCTCTTCAGTTCAGACAGGTGCGGCACTCCTCCTTGGAAGATCCGCCACCGTGCCCCCATGGCACGTTGGGGGCGTGGCAGCGTGCCATGGCACTTTCTGCAAGTCCCTTGAGGGTACCCCCCTCCGTCGGGGGGGGAAGCAGGAGGCGGGGAGGCCAGGAAGGAGCTGGAAGAGGGGCTGAAGAGGGGCTGGAAGAGGGGCTGGAAGAGGGGCTGGAAGAGGAGCTGGAAGAGGGGCTGGAAGAGGGGCTGGAAGAGGGGCATTTTCTGCAAGTCTCTTGAGGGTAACCCCCCTCCGTCAGGGGGGGAAGCAGGAGGCGGGGAGGCCAGGAAGGCAGATCTGCACGAGGAGCTGGAAGAGGGGCATACAGCCTCCGAAATGGCTCAAACTCCCCCTCATCACCCTCCCTCCTCCTCCCTCCTCTTTCACACCCCTGACCCCTCCTCCCTCATCCTCCCCCCTCCTCCTGGAGTAGGTGGGACGAGAGGAGCCTGCCGTCCTTGTATGGGACTTTCAGGTTGTTCAGGGCCTGCGCGGCCTTCGTGGCACTCTCCTCGCCGGGCCACAGCGGGGATAAACTGAAACCCGGTCAGCAGAGTTCTATACCCCTCTGGTCCCTCCTCCTCCTCCTCCTCCTCCTCCTCCTCCTCATCCTCCTCCTCCTCCTCCTACTCCTCCTGCTCCGCCACGGGGGATAACTCGCATTCCTCCTCTATCTCCTCCTGCTCCCTGTCGGCCCCATCCTCCCACCCCCGTCGCCCCATCGCATTTTTCCTCCTCCTCCTTTTCCTCTTCCTCCTCCTCCTCCTCCTCCTCCTCCTCCTCCTCCTCCTCACCTTCCTCTTCGTCTTCCGCTTAGATCGGGGACACGGAACACTAGAATTACTTCCACTTGGGTCGTCATCCCCACCATCAGCAATAGAATCACAAGCACAAACATCGGTTTCATCATCAAAGTGAACGCCATCGTGGTCACCATCGCCAACAGCATCGCCACCACCCTCTGCACATTAACATCACCATCGCCATCCACGTCCTCTCCTCCTCATTGTAAGGTCCTTGACCTTCCTCATCCTCTGCCTCTAACACCTAGCATCACCACCACCTCCACCATCATCACCGTCATCACTATCATCACCACCACCACCACCACCACCACCACCACCATCATCATCATCATCATCATCATCATCATCATCATCATCATCATCATCATCATCATCATCATCATCATCATCATCATCATCATAATCATCATCATCATCATCATCATCATCATCATCATCATCATCATCATCATCATCATCGTCAGCATCATAAGAATCATAACAATCAAAATAAAAGCATGCATAATGGTGAAAATAATAACAAAAATAATAATGAGAACAAAAATGATAGCACAACAATTAATAATAACACATAAAAGTAGCAACAATAATAATAACCATAATCAGAATCAGCATCATCATCATTATCATCATCACCTTCAGCATCATCATCAGCAGCATCGTGATCACGATTGTACTAACAGTATGACTAATTCCAATAATGATAATAATCATGAGCAGTAGCCGCATAAAACGTCAGCATCATCATCGACAACAGCGACATCGTCATCGTCGCCATCGTCGTCATCAGTCATCATCAGCATCACATGAATCATCATCCTCATCCTCATCAGCATCATCATCCTCAGCATGATCAACATCACCATCATCAGCATCATCATCAGCAGTCGCAAACTCACCATCATCAGCATCATCAACATCGTCATCGCCAGCGTCATTAGAATTATCATGTTGTTTGGACTGGGGGCGGGAACACGTTCTCATGCAACCTTGACTTCATGAACCACAGCTGAATCATCGCGATGGCATCGGGGCACATTGGTGAATCCCTGAGATGGTGCGAAAAAAACATATATATATATATATATATATATGTATATAGAAAGAGAGAGAGGGGGAGAGAGAGGGGGGGGAAGAAGAAGAAAAAACCTACACAGTTTTATATGATATATAATAGTTCTTGGGTGTTTTTTTATTGTTTAACAACAACAAAAAATGCCAAAGGGTCCAACCACTTGCAATTAGTTGCGAACACCGTCGCTGTATGCACCGCATTCATAGCAGTTCACCCGAAGGCCGCGAAACATGCAAAGGCTGTGCCAAAGCTGCTGCGGCTGGCGCAGGCGAACGTAGCCAATGGAGCCGTCGGTGGAGCTACCATATGGGGCCACGAAACGCGCGAGGCGTGTGCCACAGTGGGTGCGGTGGGCGCATGCGAACGCGCCCACTGGGGCTGTCGGTGGAACTCCCATCTGGGGCCACGAAGCGTGTGAGGGTGTGCCAAAATCTGCGCGGTGGGCGCATGCGAACGCAGCCAGGGGCCGACGGTGGAGTTCCTTATGGGGCGTCGAAGCGTGTGACGGGTGTGCCAAAATGGTTGCGGTGGCCGCATGGGAACGCAGCCACTGGAGCCGTCGGTGGGGATGTTGGTGCGGCCACGAAACGCGTGACGGGTGTGCCAAAAAAGCGCGCGGTGGACGCATGCGAGCGCAGCCACTGGGGCCGTCGGTGGAGTTCTCTACGGGGCCGCGGAACGTATGAGAAGTGTGCCAAAACGGATGCGGTGGGCGCATACCAAGGGAGCTACGGGGGCCGTCGGTGGAGCCCCCGATGGGGCCGCGAAGCGGATGAGAAATATGCGAACGCACCCACTGGGGTTGTCGGTGGAGCTGTCGATGTGGCCACGAAACGTGTGACGGGCGTGCCAAAGTGGGCGTGGTGGGCGCATGAAAACGCAGCCACTGGGGCCGCGCCCCATGGGGCCACGAAACGTGCGAGCGGTTTGCCAACACGGCCACACTGAGCGCATGCGATCGCAACAACCAGGGCCGTCGGCGGAGCCCCTATGGGACAATAAAACGTGTGAGGGGCGCGCCAAAGTGGGCGCGGTGGGCGCGTGCGAACGCTGGCACTCGGGCCTTCGATGGAGCTCCCCACGGGGGCACGAAACGCCGCGATGGGCGCGCTGGGAGGGCAGGCGCAAGGATAGCAGAATCAAAAGCAAAAGGGGGGGCGGAAGAAGGAGAGGAGAGGAATGGAGAGGGCGCGGGGCTCTCTCTCTCTCTCTCTCTCTCTCTCTCTTTCTCTATCTCTCTCTCTCTCTCTCTCTCTCTATCCTCTCTCTTGTGTTTCTCTCTCTCTTCTCTCTCTCTCTCTCTCTCACTCTCTCTCTCTCTCTCTTTCTTTCTCTTTCTCGTTATATGTATATTGCTCTCTCTCTCTCTTTCTCTTTCTCTTTCTCTTTCTCTTCTCTCTCTCTCTTCTCTCTCTCTCTCTCTCTCTCTCTCTCTCTCTCTCTCTCTCTCTCTCTCTCTCTCTCTCTCTCTCTCTCTCTCTCTCTCTTTTTCTCTGACTCTCTCTCTCTCTCTCTGCAACACGAGGGCCCAGCGCCGCAGGGTGGCTGGGGGGGGACCTTTTCATTCGGATTCCTGGCAGGGCCACGTGCAATAGGCACCGTGGCCGACGAGGTTTGGGGCCGGCGGCGCGGACCAAACAAAAGAACGGCCTCGCGAGTGCCCGGGCAAGGCGGGGCCCTCCAAGCAGCGCGAGCAGCAACCCACGGAGGACCAGGGGCGAGGCGCAGCTATCAGAGCGCCGAGCAGCGCCACCACGGCGCGGGGCCGAAGTGGGAGCGGCGACAAGGCACATTCGCACCATGCACGCGCACGCACGCCCAAGCCTTCAAAGCAGGAGCAGAAAAGTCGATGTCAAGCAACCTTGTTCTCATGACCACTAAATCATGGATGGCCTCGGGGTGCCCTTGCGGGCCCCTGAGGCGCTAGGGTATATACATATATGCACATATATATATACACAAGACTTGAAGCTCGCTGCGCTTCGCTTGGAGGTCCTGGCACGACGCGAAGGAGTGCGAGTGAGTGCGACTATGCGGGCTGAAGCGTCGGCGACGGGCAGGGACGGGGATGGGAAGGTCACGGGCGCATGGTCGTCGGCCCATGGAGTGCGCGCGCGCCGTGTGCGCGCCGAGTTGGCAAGGGGCGATGATTCCGTTCATGACAGGTGTGGTAAATGCGGGGCATTCGGGAAAACTTCAGGATTCGGGTGCCCTATTGGGGAAGACGGAGGGGTCGGAATCCTGCTTGGTAGGTGGGACGCGGGGGGTTGGGAAGGTCAGGGGCAGCGCCTGTGGGCAGGGCGTTTACCATGGCGGTGACCACGATGATAACGACGTGGTTGTGGCGACGACGGAAGCGGCATGCGCAGGAGACGGGAGGGGCAGGGGCTCGCCAGCCTGGATCGAAGGAGCGGCCCGAAACCGGGACCCCCCCCCCCTCAGCCCGACGCGGCCTTTCTCTCGGCGTCTTGACTGCGCGCTCGGATCTGCAAATCTACACGCAACAAACCTCGTGCCAGCGAAGAGGTCTGGACGGCTGCTTGCCCGCGCGCTTCCTTCCCTGTCCGTCTGCGCGCGCGGCCGTTGTTTCATCGGCCTGCGCGCGCGTGGCTTGCACTGTCGCGCCCTCCTGTCTTGCTGCAAAGAACTATTTACACCGCCCCACGCCTGCAGTCCGCGGAGCACCTGGTCGGGTCCAAGCGTTTTGAAGCACATCAACGATTTGGGTATCGTGGGGCCCTCTTCGGAGGCCTCTCGGAAGCCTCTTTGGCGGTATTGGGGGCCTTTCGGGCCGTCGTCAAGTCATCATAGGCGTCTTGGGCAAATTACTCGGCGATTTCGGGCCCTTTGGACCGTCTTGGGAGGCCCAACTGGCGGGCCAGAGACCACCCAAGGGACACCCGGGGCCTCCGGGGACTGGCCACATACATATATATATACACACACACATACATACATACATGAAAAAATATACATACATACACATATATATATATATGAGAAAAGAGAAGACAAACAAATGCCGCGACAAGACGCGCGCTCAGACTTGGAAAAATCCGGCCCGCAACTCCGAGACCAACGAGACCTCCAATCAAGGCAGCGGGGCAACCTTGCGCTATGCTGGCCCACCGGATGCCACGGGGCGAGGCCCCTTCAAGCTGAAGAGGGGGCTTGCCTGCCAGCGAGCATAGCCCGCCGCGCAGCAGCCGAACTCTGTCTCCACATAGCACCGACCTGGCAGACGCCATGCACAACGGTGAAAGTCCCTGCTCCGTCGGCCAAGGACTGCAAGTCTGGCGCCGCGAACGCGCCGCTGCTGCGGGGGCCCTCAAGAATGAAAGACATCCGAGCTAAATCACACGAGGCGACGATTTTGAAAACAGCCTGCAGACGCCCATTGCCGACCTGGAGCTCGCCCCAATCTCGGCCCGACACTTCGGGCCTCGAACGAAAACCAGAGCCGGCCCATGCTTCGAATTGGCGCCGAGCGCGCCTTAGCGATTGAGAAAGATGAACAACGTGGTGCCAACATCGCTGCGCGACATCGCTTCGCTTTGGAATCGCACATCAATCGACGTGGCACTTTCCGATTAATGAATCAGGCCCCAATGGAGGCCGCAATCTTCGCCC